TGACTGTCATATTTAATATTTGACTTGATCAAAACCATTGATATGTTGGATCCAATGATCCAAACTCATTCTTATTTCTCTCATTAGGGGTCATTCTCATATGATCCTTTCTCTCTCTCTCTCTCTATATATATATATATATAGAGAGAGAGAGAGAGAGATAGAGAGAGAGAGAGAGAGTCTCTATATATATATATATATAGAGAGAGAGAGAGAGAGAGAGATAGAGAGAGAGAGAGAGAGAGAGAAAATGTGTAAAAAAATTGTACAAATAATGTTTAAACGTATTTAATATATTATGTATTAATAATATTGTTTTAAAAAAAATTGTAATAAGATAGGTGAAAATTAGCTTTTAAAAAAAATCTAAACGTAGATAATGGATTAGAGTAGTAACTAGACATTAAAGTGAATTATTTTTTATTCTATTTATTTATTTTTAAATTGTTGATATGGGATGAGATTGAACTGGTCAAGATTTATGTGATGGGATTTTGTAAGCTTATTGGGTTTTTTTAAACTTGCCGAGTAAACTTGCCAAGATTTATGTATAAGGATTTAATTGAAAATGTTTCAAAAGCCGGCCTTGTATAGAATGATTTGATTTGGTGGACCAAGATTAATTTGGTGGACCAAGATTAACGGATGTGGTTAGATTTGTTATGAATACGTGTAAAAAAAATTAATTGACCGAAAATTATTGCTCTGAAATTTCGAGCTTCGTGTATGCAATACGATTTCAAAATTATATGCAACAGGGTTAAACAAAAACCAACATTTTAGGATGCATTAAATGCTGAATGATTCTTTGTTTTAAAAATTTAAAATATTTTCAAAGTAATGTTGTCTTTCTTTCGGTATCCTTAGGTTAAGAATACGAATCCCATTTCCTTTCAAGGAAGGTATCCTCTACCCGACCTTCTTTGTTTTTAGTAAGGAAACTCACTTTCTTTCCGATTAGTTAATCTCTTAAAATGTACTAGTGTGTAGCCCGTGCGATGCACTGGTAAGTAATATTAAATAATAATTATAAATTAAAGGTGTGAATAAACAATATAAACTAATAATTATAAATTAAGATGTGGGTAATAAATTAAAGATGTGGGGTTAGTAATATTAAATAATAATTATAAATTAAAGATGTGGGGTTATATGTGATATAACTTATCATATATAGTTTATTGTAAACCATATAAAATTACATGTGATATAACTTATCATATATAGTTTATTGTAAACCATATAAAATTATCTTGTATAAAAGAACATAAAAAATGTATGTTTATATATTATCTTGTATAAAAGAACATGAAAAATGTATGATGTGTGAAAATTTGAGCACAAAATATTTCAAAAAATTAGTTTTTAAGTTGTTACCATAAAACGAAGGTAATTACATGCATACGTCTAATTTATCAATTTTAGAAATACAAATCAATATTAATGCAAACTGAAGTATTATATAACAAATAAAATGGGATTTTATATCTAATTAACATTAAGTACGAAAATGAAAGACTGTTTAATGTTGCATTTTTTCTTATTAACATTTACCGTATGTATATCTAAAATATTTTATATTATTCTTTACAAAATATCTAAAAATACTTAAATTTAACCTCTATATCTATATTGTAAGGAAAACATCTAAAAATACTTAAATTTAAACCACTCTCTATATATATAATGTTTAAAAGTGTCTAAAATATTGCATGTGTAAACAATATTACGACCTAACAAACATTAACAATCAGACATTAAGGTGAAAATAGATTTATTTTTTTTGGATTTACATTAGTAATAAGACATTAGAATGAATTATTATTATTTTTTTGTTACAGTAAATAAGAGATTTATATTAGTAATTAGAAGGGATTTATATTAATAATTAGGCATGAGAGTAACTTAGCTTTTAAAAAAAAAAAACAAATAAGGGATGATTTTGTTAGTTGTTGGGATAAACTTGCCGTAATAATCATAATTTAAAATTGAACTGAATCATTGATTTAAAGAATGTTTGAAAAAATCAGTTGACCATTAGCCGCAATTTTAAGATGGAAATGAACAAAACCCACAATTTAAGGGATCATTAATTAATGCTATCCGATTTTGTAATTAAAAAAAAAAACCAACAATATCTATACTTATATAATAAGAATTAACATTTATCCAAAATAGTAGGTCAAATTATAGTCAATGTCGGATTTGCATTAAATATTTTCCAAAACCAGTAAGTTTTTGTCTTTTTCACACTTCTCATTAATTATGTCTTTTTCACACTTCTCATTAATTATGTCCTTTTCACACTTCTCATTAATTATGTCCTTTTCACACATCTAATTAATTCATTAATTACGACATAATTATCATAAATCATTCCATCTGAGCTTTATCGTTAAAATGTATAGCGATCTGTTATGACCTTATCCCATTGATATATCCATGAAACGTCCTTATCGCGTTCTATTTTTTGGTAACCACTCCATATCAATAACCGGATATTTGGTTAATGATAGCACACGTCTTTATTTTAAGGAGCGGATATTCTTTGACCTTTAATTAATCTGAACTGATTGTTTTGACTTTTCAATTTTTAAAAACTATTTTTTTAAATATTTCGACTTAAGATTCGGATTTCATTATACAAGTCATCTGATTGTTTGAATGAAAATGAATGAAAAGAATACCAAAAACAGGTAGCCTTATTCATATAACCAATCCTAAAATATTAGTTTGTTCACCAAAAAGAGACAAATACTAGAAATCCTAAAATATTAGTTTGTTCACCAAAAATATTAGTTTGATTTTTAGGATTTGTCTCTTTTGAAAATATTAGTTTGTGATAATGAGGAGTTACCAAATAATCAAACGCATAATGTTGTGTATAAGAAGGTTTTTAATAATATATGATTGTTACCGAACTTTTTATGATTCAACAATGTTCCTATGTATTTTAATGATTTCAATTTCGATCCTAATGCACGTGAGGTTATATTATTCTTCCAAATTTTACATCCCGTGCATCGCACGGGTTACGTACTAGTTTCTAAAAGTAGAATGCAATAAATGCTGATTGACTTTTCTTGTTACTATTTTGGTAAATAGGTTGACTCTTTATATTGATATAGACAGATATGGATGTAAAAAAAAAAGAAAAAAAAATCCGAAAGTAGTAAGCAATTAATGTTGTCCGAAAATTTCTGGTTACTATATTTGGTAAACAAGTTCTCTCTTTATATATACTAGTACAAATCCCATGCGATGCACGGGTAAGAGATATTCATTAATATTTATAAATTAAAAATTCTCATTAAATAATATTTATAAATTAAAAGCATGAAATCAATATGTAATACAATGTACCTATATTAAGTTATTGAAAATATTATAATAAAATTTAAAATGTGCAAAATTACATAAAAATGTCTATTTAAAATTAGTACACAACTTGCGCGTTGCACATTAATAAATTACATTATATTCGTTTCTAAATATGCGTCATTTTAAAAATTTTTATTCAAATATTCAATTTGATTATAACGTGATTCCATAAAATAATTATTGTGGTAAAATTTTATCATATATTTAAGAACTTATGTGAATAATAAGTATAAATATAACTTATATTGTTTCATTAATTAAAATAAATTTATTTTTGTATAAAATATCTAAATCGGAATATTTAAGTAATTGAGTAAAGACAATCAGTCATAAGATTTTTTATGCCAAGAAAATGAACACTCCTTATCATGCTAAAAAAAATGAATAGTGCATTTTACACAAAAATTATTTGACATGTCGTAAAAGAAAATGAATTAAATCGAGATCCATTAATTATATATAAAAAAAAATTGACCAGAGTTTTTCTATAAAAACATCGATTCACGCACATTATATCAAAATATCATTTCATAAAATTTTGTCGGAGTTAAGGTAATTTTATTATGTTAATTTCATCCGAAAAATTGAATCCCACGCCTAAAAACCAATACATTGGCCTGCGCATTACAAAAAAAAGTACACCGTATATTGATTAAGTTTTCAACAAATTTCCTACCAAAAAACAATCATCAAATAACCTAAATAAATTTGCTCACTTTATACCATATATTGATTAATTTATTTCCTATAGAAACAACCATCAACACCAAAATAAATTCGTCCACTTTATACCATATATTAGTGAATTCACATGATTTGAGTAATAAGGTATCTTAAAATATGACTTAGTTACTTTCTTAAATAGTGAGCCGCAATTTTCATAAGTGATCATTTGATATATACCATAAACTGTTAAATTAATTTCTGGAAATAGTAAATAGATTTTTTTGGAGGGAAATTTTCATAAGTGATCATTTGATATATACCATAAATTATTAAATTAAATAGTTAGTATTTAAAAAATAATCAAACCTCTTTATATAGATATAAATATAGATCCATATAGAAGATAGGAGAAATGCTATGGAGCCAATCACCAATGTTATAGTGCCACGTAAGAGTAATTATTTTTTCACATGGCCTACGTGGCACTATCACATTGGTGGTTGACTCCATAAGAGCACCCACAATACTTTGTGTCTCTTTTTGTATATGTGGCATATAATTGGACTTGAGTCTTAAATGATGTGGACAAACCCAAGTAAAAAACTTCAATAACTTTGCAATGCAAAAATAAAAATACTAGGTCTAACATATATGTCAACCAATAAAAATGATCTAATATGTTTTTTTTATTAAAAGAAAAATTAAAGTATGAATAAATGATTAGTGTTTGGGTTTATACTTGGGTCCAAAATAGACCCAAGTGTGGACTTAGTCTCTTTTTTTATTACCATATAAACTAGACTATGTCCACTTTAATTGCATTGGGAAACATTTTTTCATAGACTAGGTCTATTTTCTTACATGGCATGTAATTTTTTATCAAGAGACCAAAGGCATTGTGGATGCCCTAAAGGAGCCAACCATTGGTTCCATAACATTTCTTCTCTAGACAATAGATATTGATAGATATGGATATACATTCCCCACATCACAACTCCATTCTATATTTTGCTAATTAATCAAAACAAAATATGTACATTGCGTTACATTTGAGAAATTTTATTTCATTTTCACCCAAATACGTTAAAATAGATTTTGTAAATTTTGTTTCACTCCGTATAAATTCACCTCTGTGTTCTTTCTGAGACATCGCTCTCCACACCTCTCACCTGGATCCGTTAATATTTAATCAGCTCTAAACCCCTCCGAGGAAAAGCTGAATTCCGAGGTACCTCAAGTTCATCGTCTAAATCTCCTGTCAATGTGATGGTGATATTGTTTATCCTGATCTGTTCATTTATTCGATGTTGAAGGGATCTTTGTTTGTGATCTCCTAATTTTTTTAGTCAGATCGAATTCTAGTCGGAAAACGGTCGATTCTTCCTGCAACGACCGGAATATCAGACTCGAGCACAGGTTTTAGCATTTCAAACGATTCCCTCTGCGTTTCTCTTGTCTTGTATTTGCTCGATTTGGTCAAAAAAGTTGCCTTTTCTCTTGTACCTACTCAAACATTTCTAGATTTGTGTAGGATTGGGACTGAATTGCGATTAGAAGCACAGAAGGAGTGATCTTGCTGTGGATCCGGTCCTTTTTCGATCCATTATCTGCACATTTCCGATTAGGCCGAGCTGATGGCGACTCCGGGAGGACCTAGGCCTGGGAACTTCCCCCCTAATTACAACCCAAACGCACTCGCCAACAATATGCAAAATCTGCAAATCAATCAGCCGCCAGGTCAGCAGCAGCCCCGCCCTCTTAGCGGCCCACCCTTCGGTCAACAGCCCCCGCCATTTACCGGTGCCCGTCCGGGCCCGCCTCCACCTGGCGCATTCCCTCCAAACACCATGACGTCCACTCTGCCTACTGGCACGCCGCCACCTGTATCTCAGCCTCCTCCCCCGGTTGGGCTGAGGCCCCCGCCACCTGGCGCATTCCCTCCGTCTGCCGGTGGGCCCACTGCTCCCTCACCTTTCAGGCCCGGCCCTCGCCCAGGGCCCGTTTTGGGGGCTCCCAATGGGCCTCCTGCATTTGGGCCCGGGATGTCGCAAAGCGGGCCCCGGTTCCCACCTGCAATGGGCAGTAGTGCGCCAAGGCCATCGTCTGTTCAAATGCGTCCTAGCTATGGTGGTCCGCCTACCGGTGGATCGCCGTCTCCTGTGGGGCAGCAATCGTCATCACCATTCGCAGGCCCGCCTTTTGCTGCTGGGCAACAGGCTCCTCCATTTACGGGCTCGCCACAGAACACTCGGCCTCCTTCGGGTTCACCGTACAATATGCAGCAGACGTGGCCATCACAGCCAAACCAGCAGGTAATTTTTGTTCATGTGATATTATTACGACTTTTCTTTTGGAGGTATTGGTGATGTGCAAGTTTGGATTTTTATTGTTAAATTGGTCATGTGATTTGATTTTGCACTCAAAAAGCTTGTTACGGTGTGTAGACAGTTCCGCCTCCTCCGATTCCTGGTGCCATGCAGCAGCAGCAGCCGATGTTTGGGATGCCGCCAGGTGGGCCTCCACCTCCTACTCAATCTATGGCTATGGGTCATACTGGGCAATCGAAAATTGATCCTAACCAGATTCCTCGCCTTACTCCAAGTTCTGCTGTAATTTTGCACGAGACTCGTCAGGGCAATCAGGCGAATCCTCCTCCGGTATTTTTACCAGTATTTTCGTGTTTTTGCATCGGTGGTTTTTTCGGGAGCCTGTTATATTTTAGCTAGTGTCATGGTGCAAGTTTATTCTCTTGTTAAAAATTGTTTTCACTTATGACATCGATTTTCAGATATTTTAGCTCTTTAACTTATTCTTTGTTTTATCGTTTCTTTACGAAGCCTGCAACAAGTGACTATATAGTAAAAGACACTGGGAATTGCAGTCCGCGTTACATGAGGTGTACTATAAATCAGGTTAAGTATCCAATTGCACCAGTAAATACTTTTAGCAACTGTTATTTTTTTTATAATTACTTGGTTTCATCAACTTTCTAAATATGATATTCTAGTGTTTTATGACATTTTTGTGCTTGTAAATAACTATTGCTTTTTATATATTGTTAGATTCCATGTACTGTAGATCTTCTATCGACATCTGCAATGCAGTTGGCTTTATTGGTTCAGCCTTTAGCTCTTCCACATCCGTCTGAGGAACCCATCCATGTATGGAAGATTCCGTTTCCATTATTTTTTCTCTTTTTGACTTCTGGTTGAATAAATATTATGTTACTTCTTTCTACAATTTAATTTAGTTTGTTAGTCACACAACTTCGAAATTGAATGAGATATAATCCACACTCTTGCTATACCTTCATGTCATGTGCACATGACATTTGTTAAACTGAACTACACAACATGACTTATGTTATTATGTTTCTAGGTTGTTGATTTTGGCGAAGGTGGTCCCGTTCGGTGTTCTCGCTGCAAAGGCTACATAAACCCATTTGTAAAGTTCATTGACCAAGGAAGACGTTTCATTTGCAACTTGTGTGGTAAAAATACCTCTTAATGGTTCATTTTACATGATATGATGTATATGTTTCGTTAGGGAGTTATGAGAACATACACCATTGAGGTCAATATCCACAGTGTGCCCTTGTGTTTCTTTTTTTTCCCTCCTCTTTGCAACAGCTAGAAACATGCCAATAAATAATTAAAAAATAAACTGCAAATCCATGATCCATAAATGTTCTACTCGGTCCTTTTGACTAGGACGTTAGGATAGTGGCATTTGTATCACATCTTTCTTGAATGCATTTCCTGGTGTTAACTGTTGGTTCTATATAACTTCTTCTGTTACAAAATTATAATCCAACATTTTTCACACTTTATAACACTTGTTTTTCCAGGATTTACGGATGAAACCCCACGTGACTATCACTGCAACTTAGGTCCTGATGGTCGGCGAAGAGACGCTGATGATAGACCTGAGCTATGCAGAGGAACAGTTGAATTTGTTGCTACTAAGGAATACATGGTGAGTGCTATAGAGATCTAGTCTTGAATCCATCATACTCATGATATTAGTTAATAAAGAAAGGAGTCATTGTTGTCACGAAATTAGAGTTGGAATGTTGTCAAAGATAGTGCTCTACTCTGGGCCAGGGAGCACCTTCGGTTTGGTGCTCGCCAAAGTGAAACTTTATTAATTGTTGTTTGAGAACCCTCAAGATCAGGGATCCATAAGATCCAGCGTGTCTTAATATCTGTTTTGTGGATGGTATTTTTGTAAAAAAAAAAAAAAAACACTTCCATGGTAAACGTGTATATATAATATGAGTCAAAATTTTATAAGAATCATATGTTAAAAAGATCCATTGCATTTAGTCTGCATTCCGTAACAAATTCCATAGTACTTTAGCAACCCTAGCATTTGGGCAGACTTCTGCATAACTTACAATTCTTGCGTTCGTGAATTTGTGCTGCGTGGGTGTGAGTATTGAACTGGGGGAGAGGAAAATCCCTTTTTGTTTTTTTACTCTTTATTGTTGGATGAAATACATCTCTGTTCGTTCTTACATTTGTGATATGCATTATGTGTAATGTAAATGTTTCAGGTGCGAGATCCAATGCCCGCCGTATTTTTCTTTCTCATTGATGTATCCATGAATGCCGTACAAACTGGTGCAACTGCAGCAGCTTGCAGTGCGATCAACCAAGTTATAGCTGATCTCCCTGTAAGTTCGTGCACAGGTTTTATTACATCAAGTTAGTGGTCCTTTTTTCAACTCAATTACAGTACTACTTTTTTCTTCGAGCCGAATCACTTATGGTGTATTTAATCCGAATTAAGGAAATGCATCCAGAGAAAGACAATAGAATCTGTAGAGTAGTGCTCGTATTTGTCTGTGTTGAAATTTCCACTATAAGTTCTCTTCAGGAGGTTTCCAAAACGTGATGTGATACGGATTTTGCATTGACGTAATTTTACATTAACTATCAAGTACTAGATCTCTATAAGTGGTAGGATTTTTAGCCTCTCTACCGGTGGCTCTGGTAATAATCTCAATGAGTTTTTTGCACATGAAATTTATTTTTCACAGTGCTGGGGATTACTGCTGAGTTCTTTGTTTTATTCTTTTCCTTAATAAAAGGAGAAAGAAGGATATCAGGGAAAAGGGAACTAACTATTAACATGAATGAGTGACCTTTTACTTGCAGAAGGGGCCTCGAACAATGGTGGGCATTGCTACATTTGACTCGACCATCCACTTTTACAACCTAAAACGTGCTTCACAGCAGGTTCGTGGGGGAGTATTAGCTTGTGGCGACACTGGCTTTGTCACAATATCACTACACATTCCTTTCCATTCCTTTATTGATTTGATCTGGATTAGAACCTGTGCAAAAGCCTCTAGGCTTTAGATATTGATCGTTTAGCAAAGTAATGTTGTACAAGTACTTGTTGTGCTGGGTGGTAACTTTTATGTTATTTTTCTGTTTCATTTCAGCCGTTGATGCTTATAGTTCCCGATGTGCAAGATGTCTACACTCCTCTGGAAAGTGATGTTATTGTCCAAATTGATGAGGTTGGTTGTCATTCTGTTTTTAGCTTGGTTCCTACTAGAGCAGCTTGTTGACTTTCTGCCCTATATAAAACTTATTTTCTCAAATTTCTTATAATCTTTATTTTCAATTATTATTATTATTATTAAATAAATAATAATAATAATAATAATTATTATTTTAAAACCAGAGAGTGATTAAGAATCAGTTCCAGCATCTTAATGTGTTTTTCTGTGTTTAATTTATCCCCGTGAAGAAAAATAATTTTCTCTTTTTGAATTGTAGTGCCGCCAGCATTTGGAGATACTGTTAGAAAGTATTCCTACAATGTTTGAGAGTAATAGAACTGCTGATTCAGCATGTTGTGCTGCAATAAAGGTATGGGCGTGATTTTTATTTATGTATTTTTTATTTTTTATGTGGATGCCTTCATGACGTATTATTGCAGAGTCAGGCATCTATTTAGCCAAAGAGATTGGGAAAATAAAACTTACTGCTGTTTGCTTACCTTCTCCTAGAAACAACTTCCCCCAAGAACTTTCCCTAGTCATCTCCTAATCACTAACCAGACACCTTACATTTGCTAAATGACCTTGATTATTATGTTCCAATTGATTTATCCCTAGATTACTTGACATTAATTCATTCTGGTCCTCATTTTTACTTTAGGCGGCTTTCTTGGCAATGAAAAGCACTGGTGGCAAACTGCTTGTCTTCCCATCAAGTAAGCTGACAAATACACAAATGTTGTCTATGTAGGACACATTCACAAGCATGGAAACTACCTCTTCTTTCTTGTCATGTTAATGTAGCTCTTCTCTAAGTTATAAAATTTTGATCCAAATTCATTGACCACATTGTTTTGGGCACAAAGATTAGGATTCGCCTATATTGACTGCATATCTATTACCTGTATAAATTATGTGTACACTTTGGCTTTCTGTGTATTTGCTACTTTCTAAGTTCTAACGTCTCACTTAATGGAAATATTAGTTTTCCCTGTAGTACTATTATACTGATGAGTTATGAATTGCAGCACTGCCGTCAACTGGCATTGGATCCCTTTCTGCTAGAGAAGCAGAAGGCAGAAGCAACATATCAGCGGGAGATAAGGTATAAAATGCTGCATATAAGAGTCTTAGAACCCCTGCCCTTGTTATTGGATTACTCTTCATTTATATTGTAAATCTTTTGGATACAGTTTATTAAATAAAAAAATATCTTTCTATTTTGGGAGGGATGGACAATGAATGTTGAGATCCACAGCATGGTGCAATCCTCTCATGTGTGTGCAGATTTTTATCATTCAACCTTTGAATCTAAATGGGACAATAGAGTGCAAACTTTACTTCCTTCTTTCCTCGAGTTGCTCAAAACGCGTATCATGTGTTATTGGGAATGCAGAGTAAACTACGAATGTGCATGTTAGTTGAATATTATTTGAATTTTATCACCCACAGAAGTTCCATGTCCCTGGCTAGTTTTTATTCCCTTTAATTGTGATTTGAATGTTGTTTCAAATAACTTTAAAATGAAGGGAGATTCCAAAATCTGACCCCTTACGAATTATTTGTATGGTGTTATAAGATGAATGTATATTAGGTAGCTTATTAGGGTAACTAGATAGCTAGAATTTGATGTACTCCAATCAACCAGTGCTGTACAGTTTTTAATCCTGTTGTCGTAATTAAACACCCATCAATAGTCTGTATAGATATTTGTATGATCATCCATTATGTTCATTTCTGCTAGCTCTCTCTTTAGTTATATGTTAGATTCATAGATGTTTATTCATTAATAGAATTTGTGTTTTGAGAGCTTAATTCCAATTCTTGGGTTTCAGGAGGCTCACAAATTACTCCAACCGGCTGACAAGATTTTGAAAACTATGGCTATTGAGTTTGCGGAGTATCAGGTGACATTGAATTATCCCTTGGAACCCAAACTCTTGATGCTGTTTTTTGTTTATCCCCTGGTATTATTTTTATTGAATGTTCGTGTCATTTTTTATTTTTTATTTTTATTTTTATTTTTTTTGACACTTACAGGTCTGTGTGGACTTGTTCATTACGACGCAATCATATGTCGATATAGCTTCTCTCTCTGTAATACCAAGAACTACCGGAGGCCAGGTAAAATCAGGTTCTTAATCAGAGTATATAATGAGGTGACCATACTATACATGGCAAAGTTATCATCTATTTTCTATGACCATTTTGACTTAGATGTCTGACTTGCAAACTGTATATCTTTGAATTGTTATATCAAGCTCTCAGTTTTACTGTTTTTATTGTCCAGGTTTACTATTATTACCCTTTCTCTGCCCTTTCTGATTCTGCTAAGCTTTACAATGACCTCCGCTGGAATGTCACAAGGCCACAAGGATTTGAAGCTGTGATGCGTGTTAGATGCAGCCAGGTCACCTTCTTTTTGTTTAGTTTTTTAGCTTCTTTTTTTAGGAACTCTCAAAGTTGTAAAACGCTTGTTTGACCTGTGACTTCGACACTAGTTTATATCTTATGTTTTTCTTGTGTAGGGTATTCAAGTTCAGGAATATTCAGGAAACTTCTGTAGGCGCATACCAACTGATGTTGACTTACCTGCTGTATTTCCCTTCTCTCCCTCCCTCTCTCTCACTCTCACCCTGTCATTCACTCACTCACTTACTCTTACAAACAGTGTCTGGACCATTTTCCTGGCATTTGACTTATTTCACTATTCATGTTTAGTGCTCACTATCTTCATTTGGATGTCAATGGCGTATCATTTTTAAACATATGCTTAGATCAGCAAACAGCATTTGTCGTGTGTAAGGAATATATTCATTACATCAGAAACGTAATGTGTGAATTGTTTTTTATTACGTCCAATAGAAAATATGAATTATAAATTTTCTCTTAGAATTAGTATATAAACTTGTAGATTTGTCCTATTTGTTATTTTTTGCGAAGTGAACATGATTGCACTCATGTGTAGTATGGCATATGTTCAAAAGATTTTGTTATTATATGGTCATGTATGTGTGTCAATGTTGACTGCTGGGGCAACTTGCTTACACTTCCTTCTTCCTCAGATTGATTGCGACAAAACAGTAATGGTGACCCTGAAACATGACGACAAATTACAGGAAGGTTCTGAGTGTTCTTTCCAGGTAACATTTACAGCATCTACAATAGTGCCTTACTTAAAGGTTACACCAAATTGCCCTCGTGGAAAATGTCTATATTTGACCAGTAAAGCCACATTTCTTCGGTGAAAATTTTCCCCTTCTTCTTGAAGACATTGTTTATTTAATCAGCTTTTATGTTTATTTTTGTCTAGTGTGCCCTTCTCTACACCACCGTCTACGGACAAAGAAGAATCCGTGTTTCGACATTGTCTCTGCCTTGCACCAACATGCTGAGTAACCTGTTTCGAGCGGCTGACTTAGATACCCAATTTGCTTGCATGTTGAAGCAAGGTACTTTCTTGGGTGTTGTGTATTAAATTTGTGAAATTCAATGTATTAAAGGGTGCTCATATTGCTTTTTCTTTTTTCTTTCTTAAATCTGAAATATGAGGTGAATGTGGCCTCTAAATGAATTATCTTCTTTATCCACTGTTTTCGTCCAAGAACATTTTCTAAAACTCTTCACACACACACAATTCACAGAGTTCAAAACACCCTCTCCGTGATTTTTCTTTTGTTCTTGTATTTATTTGTTTATTTTTGTTTCAGTTGATTTGTTTAGTGAAACCAACTTATAGAAATCATTTATCATATGCTTTTCTGTCCAACCATTGACTCTGACTTTGGTCACGCGACAGCTGCTGCCGAAATTCCATCAGCTCCTCTTGCACAAGTGAGGGACCAAGCTACAAATGTTTGCATCAACATCTTGTACTCTTATCGCAAGTTCTGTGCTACTGTTTCGTCTTCTGGACAGCTTATTCTGCCTGAGGCACTTAAGTTGTTGCCTCTATATACACTTGGTACATGCGAAGTTTCTCATGCGTATATGTGTTGCCATTCCCTTTTTCCCCTCTTGCCAGAGTTTTATATTGTACTTGAGTAGCTTTCTAAAATTAATAATTATCTATCTTCATAATAGACTTATTTTCAGAAGTAGCGGAAACAAGAATAAGATTTATAAATTTGTGACCGAGAATAAAAGTTATCTTTCCGGAGTAGATCCTTACGACTTTCTTAACGGCTAATGCATCACTCTTTTTGTTTTTTTTTTTCATTGATTAGCAAGAATCTAATACAACTTGTATTCCCGGTTTATGCAATTTTTTTCAGCTTTACTCAAAAGCACTGGTTTACGTCATGATGGGAGAATAGACGAGAGGTCCTACTGGATTAATCACGTATCTTCTTTACCTACACCTTTGGTAATTCCATTGGTGTCCCCAAGAATGATCTCCATTCATGACCTTAATGAAAAGGTAATAATGTAATTATCATGGTGCCACCATTGGTGATTTACTATGTTACCCGAGTTTCTCATTATTTATGCTGAATTTGGCAGGAGTCGGATGATTCCATTATTCCCACTCCCATTCCACTTAACAGCGAGCAAATTAATGATGATGGAGTTTATCTTCTTGAGAACGGAGAAGATTGTTTAATTTATTCTGGTACTTCGGCTCAGCCGAATATTTTGCAACAGTTGTTTGGAATTTCATCTGTTGAAGAAATTTCCAATCAGGTACCATTTTCTTGATATTTTGTTCCACTTTATTTATCAGTTTTCATAGTCAAACTTTTTTCTGTTGATATTGGCAATACACGTTTATTTGCCAAAAATAAGTTGCAGCCAAAATGACATGCTATAGATACTTCCAAAACTGAACTTGTGTAGCAACAGCATAGCGTACATTAATTTTTTTTTTTTTTTNATTTTTAAAAAATTATATTTGTTTGCTTTTAGCTCTGAATTTGAATTTTCAGCTGTTGATTTGTTTCTTTAGTAGAAGTAAACAATTTCTTGCATAAAGTTTCTTGTATTTGTTACGAAATTAGCACTTACTTCTTCCTTCATTTCTTTTCTCAGTTTACCCTTCAGGAATTTGACAATCCTTTGTCAAAGAAGCTGAATGCCATAGTAAATGAAATAAGGCGCCAGCGGTGTTCTTATTTACGGTAAGACTAAAATGTTAAATATTATTTACAAAAAATGAATATAATAATATTACATTTCATGAACTGGTCAGTTATGTTGAGACACCTTTTTAACTTTCAATGTCTTGTTCTATTCTGCAGTTTGAAATTTTGCAAAAAGGGAGATCCTTCAGGTTAGTGCTTGGCAAAATTATATTCCAATCCAATGGCTGAACTTTCCTTATTCTGAACATAAAAATCTTATCACCTTGTTTGTTAATATGGTTTTATAAGCTTTAGCATTTAATCTCAGTCTACAATGCTTTTAGTGCATTCTGGACGATTATTATTCCACTTGATGTTTGGCAATAATCGTAGTTTTATTATAAACTAATAATCTCTCGGCTTTTGATCTCTTTCCCATCCTGCAGCGACATTACTCATATGTTGTCTTGTCAAGTTTTGTTTATTGGGTTCATTTTTGGTTCTATGCAGGGATGATGTTTTTCTCTTACATGGTAGAAGACAAATCACCACTTGGGCTCTCATACGTCGAGTATTTAATACATATCCATCGACAGATTCAGAGTAAAATGGCTTGAACCTTTCAATGAAAATTTGGATTTCTCTTGGAAAAAATGCAATTGTTGAAGCCGACAGAAGGTTGTGTTCATGCTCCGGTGCTGTTGGGGGCATATAGTTTTGAGAGGAGAGGATTTTGTTCTGATGGTTACTAAACTATATATGTAGTCCAAAGGTAGGAAAAATAAAACTCAAAAGTGTTGCTTTAATTTAGTTCTTATTTCTGTTTTGCATCTTTTTGGCACATTCATTGTGGGGTGCAAAGTTGAGATGTGCAAACAATGCTCGACTTTAGATGTGGATCATATGTTGTATTACTATTTATACTTAGTGGCACACTCGTGTTTTCAAATAACACTCATGAAACTTTGGAGATATGGTTATAATGAAATTAGAAATTTCAGTTATCTATTTTGATTTTGAAGTGATTTTTAAAATTCTTTCGTTTTTGCTTTATCTGTGAGCGGTCGGGGAAGGCGAATCGGAAATCATTGGTTAGCTGCAGAGAAATTGGGGAAAGTCGAAGAGAGAGTGGTTTTAGCAGACCCATTCAGTTCCTCTTATTTACACAACCTTCTTTTATCTCTTTTTGAATCGAAAAATGGTAAATAATGAACTTTTTTATTATTTTATAATATTATATTTTTATATCAAGCTGTTTATGTACATGTAAAGTTCTATATTTATGTTTTGTTTGTTTTTTAATTAGTTTTAAAATATCAATTAAGTTGGTTTTATAGATGAATTTATGATATAATAATAAATTTTATTCATATGTAATTAAATTGGTAAAACAAGAGGTAAAATTAGTTGAGCCGAACACAAGTTGTTTGCCTTAGAGCTGTTAAATTAAATGAGCTGCTCGTGAGCTCAGTTCGGCTCGACTCGTTAAGGTTCGAGTTCATTTATAGCTCGTTCAGTAATGAACCAAGCTCGGCTCGACTTCATTTATAGCTCGTTCAGTAATGAACCAAGCTCGGCTCGATTCGATAAGGCCAGTTAAGGCTTGAAACGATATTTTTTTTTTTATGTATTTTTTCATAGTTCGACTCGATTTTGACTTATTAAGACTCGAGTTTGGCTCGTTAACATTGATAAATGAGCTGAGATCGAGCTTGATTATAGGCTCGTTAAGTTAATGAGCCGAGTCGAGCTTGATAAAGCCTTCAACTTTTTATTTTGGTGTTAATTTCAAATAAATTTTAAGTTCTGGAGTTTAGGTAAAATTCACTTATTCTACCGCTCTCTGTTTCCCTTTTTGCTTACCAACTCTAAAAAAAATTTTGTAATTTCCCGAGTCCCTCCTCCTTGTCATAAATTAAATTTTGCAGAAAAAAAATTAAAAAGGAAATCGGGTATTTCTATTATAGTTAATGAAAGAACTTATATTTTATCTTATCTTATATATATAGGGATGGATCCAATGAGTCAACTCCTTCAAATGAGTATATGAGACTCAATCTTAGTCATTCATTTTGTGTAAGTCAATAACTCATACTAATCAATTAAAATACACATCAGTTGAATAATAAATATATTAAATTATTATTTTTAAATTACTTATATAATAAATAAATTAGTAAACTGAATTTTCCGGCGATTGTTAACTACTGTAAACCACAGCAAGACTCGCCTCTCGACATTAGGGCACGACCTCAAGAAGAAATTAGCCTCGGTCGCCGGACGTTGAGGACTTCTCGCTGGAATGGACCTTCAGTTGACGAAGTCGCGACTCTCTGAGATGCTCATTGCAGGTCCATTATTATATTTAGATACTCCTAGATCGCTTGCACCATAACAATACTGAATAAAACAGTAGTGAAACTCAGTGTGCTATTATTTATTAGCACACAAACTTGAACACAACACTGAAACTCAAGAGTTGCTAGTATTTATCAGCACACAGCTTGAAAAAGTAACACCACCTTTCTGTCTCATGAAAAAGCATGATGATACAAGGCAAAATCTTTACATCTCCATTGTTAAAATAACCTAGAGAATTATGTATGTACAACACATAACCAGTATACACACATCCCATATACATAATACAAACTACTCAACAAAACGATAGACCACACATCATCAATCAAACTCATCTTTGGGTCGGAACTCCGAGGTCGAACCAATGCTATCGAGCCACAAAACTAACTTCTCCGTACAAGGCCTCATCCTCGGATTTTTACTCAAACAAACGAACGCAATCTCGAGCACGCCAACCATCTCACGCGCATATCGTTCGTCATAAACCGATTTGTCAAAAACCTCCGCCACCCTTTTCTGCGCCTTCATCTCCCCCACCCACGCCACCAAATCTCGGTTACATCTCGGCCCACACACATCCACCGGCCTCTTCCCCGTCAAAAGCTCCAAAAGCACAACCCCAAAACTATACACATCCCCTTTGTAACTCGCGACTGAGGCCTGACTGTACTCGGGCGGAATATAACCCAACGTCCCCACAAGATCTGTCGTGACGTGAGTATCATACGGTAGAATAAGCCTGGCAAGCCCGAAATCAGCCAAACGGGCCTCAAACATCCCGTCCAGCAAAATATTGCTCGACTTTATGTCTCGGTGCAAAATTCGCGGCTCGCACGACAGGTGTAAATACGCGAGCCCACGTGCGGCCCCACATGCTATCTTGAGCCTTTTCCCCCAGTCGAGCGACGCGAGCCCGTCAGGCTTCTCGTGCAGCCAATAATCGAGACTTCCATTCTCCATATACGAGTAGATTAATAAACAGTCGCCTCTGTATTTGCAGTAGCCCTGGAGAGGGACGAGATTCGCGTGTCGGGCCCGTGATAGAGCTTCGACCTCGGCCCGAAATTCGCGCTCCATCTGGAAATTCTCGCCGGAGAGGCGCTTGATCGCGACCTTCCGCCCGTCGGACAGCACGGCCCGGTACACGAGCCCGAAACCTCCGCACCCGACGATGTTTGACTGGTCAAAGCCGTCGGTGGCCTTCAAGAGGTCGTCGAGACAGATTGTGCCTTTATCATGGCAAAGGATCACTAGGCTAGAAACTCGGTCGAGATCCTTCTCGTCGACCGTAAAATCAAAATCATCCGAGTTTTCTTCTCCGGCGAAATTTCTCCGGCAAAAGATTAAATAGACGAGCGCGAAAATAATAATACTACTCCCCACGCCAATTCCGACGCCCATTCCAACAACAGTGCCCTCTCTCCCTCGTGATCGGACAATCGACGCGCGAGGGGTAAAGTCGTGATTGCAAGGACGGGGCGCGTGGGCCCCACAAAGACCGTCGTTACCCTCAAAGCTCGACTTTGAGAAGGTTGCGAACTGGCCTTCGGATGGGATGGGCCCGAAAAGACTATTGTGGGCCACGTCGAAAGTGGAGAGAAAGGTTAGGGCCGTGAGGGAGGACGGTATTGTCCCGCTGAGATTGTTGAACGAGAGATCAAGAGTCTCGAGGCTCGTCATCCGGGATAGGCTACTCGGGATTGGTCCCGACAAGTTATTCCGCTTGAGGTCGAGAATGTGAAGCTCCTTCAAATTCCCGAATTCGGGCCAAACGGGCCCAGTTAAGAAATTGTTGCCCAACTCCAATGTCGGGGGAAAACTCACGACTCGTCTGTATTTAAGCCTCGTTTGGTTCCTCCTAACAAATAATGGGAAATTGGGTAAGGAGGACTCATCCATGGAGATGGAGATGTTGTTGCCGCTGATGAGGCTCTGCATCTGTGTGATCTCAATCGGGATATTGCCTGTTAACGAATTATTTGATAAATCTAAGTAAAAAAGAGACGACATATTTCCAAACCAGGATGGAATGGAACCTTCTAGACGGTTCCAGGACAAATCCAGGAGCTGCAGGTTCTTGGACCTACTCAGCCACTGGGGAACACGGCCTGTGAGCCTACAGTTAGCGATCACAAGTGTTCTCAGCCCGGAAAAATCGAGGCCGATATTATTCGGCATCATCTCGTCTCGAAAGTTCAAGGTCAAGACCAGAGTCGAGAGGTTCTTACAGTGCTGCAAAATCTCGAGGGTTCGACTGAGGTTGGTGAGGCTCGAGTTAGAGAGGGACAGATATGAGAGGCTCTGGAAATTCACAAAACTTTGGGGGACTTGCCCGGAAAAAGTAATCCGCGCAAAATTAACGACCCTTAATTGTGTGCAGTTGGGGAGATTTTCCGGAATACTGCCGTGAAATTGGTTGGAGGCGAGATCGAGGGACACGAGATTTACCAGCGCCGAGCAATTGAGATCGATTGTGCCGCTCAAGGAGTTGTTCCGTAAATTAATGGACATGATTGTCGGCGAATTTGAGAGCGTCGTTGGTATTACCCCACTGAAATTATTCGACTGTGCCGAGAAATATCGCAACTGCGTCAATCTGTTGAAAATATCCGGAATGTTCCCCGACAGGCTGTTTGAGGATAAATCGAGGTGGACGAGGTTTGAGAGGTTACCGATGAGGCCGCTCAGGTGGCCGGAGAATTGATTTTCCCGGAGATCCAGCTTTTGCAGATTTATGAGGCGAAAAAGATCGTCGTGAATGGCTCCAGAGAGAGAGTTGGAGGCGAGGTTAAGTTCCTCCAGTGACGAACAGTTACCGAATCCCACAGGAAGAAATCCACTGAAAAAGTTGCCTTCCGCACTTAGAGCTCTAATGGCGGTTGAGTTTATGCAAATCTCAACTGGAACGCGGCCGGTGATATCATTCTCGGAGATATTAAGAGTTGTGATTGACGGCAAGTTTATGTTTTCTGGGAAAGAGCCTGAGAGGTCGTTATAGCTCAAATCCAGGGTTTCTAAATTGGGCAAGTTCATAAGCGATTGGGGAATTTGGCCTTGAAGATTGTTGTGGGAGAGATTTAGGGTTCTGAGGTGAACCAAATTGCTCAAGGATTCAGATAAATTACCAGTAAGCCTTTGGCGAGTCAGGTGGAGCGTAACTACTACGGCGGTGGAGTTGAGAGACGATGAGGAGAAATCGCAGGTGATTCCCGGCCAACCACAGCAATTTGATGAATTGATATCCCATCCATCGATGGAGGACTCAAGGTGCTCGACGAAAGTCCTCAACGAATTCAGATCATTTGAGCTGCATGTCCAGTTCTGAGCTTGAGCAGATAAACAACCGAAACATATGAAGACTATACAGATNGGGTAAAAATGGAAACAGTGGATGGTGAGGTGGAGAAAAGGGAGATAAAATTCAAGAGCCGTGTGTTTTTTAAAATAAATAAATAATCCGAATATTATGTAAGTAGGAATTGATATAATGATGTAGGTTTTGACCTAAAAAACGCTTCTTTTGCTTTGTATTTAATTGTTTAGTTTGGTCTAAATGAGGGGACGGCGGCATTTTTCTTTATTATTTCGGTTTTGACTCCACAAAAAAAAAAGCCGCGGCATTTGGTCTAAATGAGAGGCGACAGCGTTTTCTTTCCGCTATTGATATGAGAATTGTGCGGGGAGAGAGAGGAGGCGTTTCGTTTAGAGAAAGTTCGTGTGTGCGTGTGTGTTGGCATTAATTAATTAGATTGGAGGTGGGCAGTTTTGCACCCACTCGTAATATCATATGTAACAATTTTAATTAAATATATTTTTAAAAAAATATTATATACAGGAGTATGATATGAGATACTATAACAACATATTAGGTCGTGTGTGACCTAATAATAATTTGACTGGTTTGAGAGGACTGACAGACGATCTGATAGCAATGAGGTCTAAGGTCGTTAGAGCACTCGGGCAATGATGACCTTTGAGGTAGAACAATTCAACAACTGATTGAGCTAGGAATCTCGTCTAGCTTAACAGAAACTCGACCTGAAAGTAAAGATGTCAATGTAAGACCTAAAAAGCATACTTACTTATTAGAGACCAGAATGATCATGTTCAAGGAACAGAGAGTTGATACAAGTATGCTTAAGGAAGCAACCTAATGAAGTAGACTAATATGAACACACCACAATAATAGATGAATAAGAATATAATTAATATTAGAGGAGCATGTGGATAAGACCACGTGGCTAACAAAATTGGTTAATTTAGGCACTTTGGCAGTACGATTTCGGTGCCAGGTGGATGCTATTAAGCTGAGCTGCGGGTAGCTAAGACACTTAGGCAGCCCAGTCTGGTAGTCTTGGCAACAAGGTAACACCTCTATATAATGGGGTGATGTATAATCATCACATTTCTACAAACTCTTAGTATTTTATACTTACATACACTTATACATCATCTTCATCATCAAATATTGACTTGAGCGTCGAAAATTCTATGTTGGTACAACCCCGGCGCTGTTTTGCAGGTCATTCACCGGCTTGTGAGTGATTGAAGTGGACGTTCAACTGGGGCAAGGTCGTTTGCACTACCATTTGGCGCCGTCTGCGGGACATTTCGTTCAAAAAGCCATAAATCACCACTTGCCATGGTGAATGAAAATCCCAGAAGGAACCTGGAGCCCAGCTTCAACGAGGCGTGGGTCTCCATTCGGCCATTAGAAGAAGGGCCACCACTGTGCTTCTCGAGGTCTACCCCGACGCCAATCACTCGATTCCCAACCCCTCAAGTTTGAGGGATCATCCATGTATCTAGCAGTGGTAGGAGGTTTGATTGTCCAACCAGGGGGTAGATCGGGCATGAAGGCCATTCCTGCACTCCATGTGCAGCCAAACCCACTCCAGGTCGGCAGGATAAGGCCACTGACGACAAGAGGTACGTTGACAAGTCAACAAACAGTGACACTCAAAGAGCTCAACAAAATGATTGCAGAAGTTGTTGTGGTCAGGTGCGACCAGCCACAACTGTCAAGTGCATTAAACCTGACTAAGACGACAAGGAGGAAGGAGTTCGGTATTTCTAGCAGCTCTGCCATGGAAGCCTATCGCGATCTAGCAGTGGAAAAGATGGCAACTCACATACGAAAAATGCAAACCAGGGTGGAAGGGATACGAGCTGGGAGAGCTCGAGGGAACCCTTTTTCCCAGGAGATTCTTGATGTTGATTTACCCTCTAGGTTCAAAAAACTCAGTACTACGTATGACGAGTCTACTGACCCGTCTCGTCACTTGAGGAGCTTTGAGAATACGGCGGTTTTGCATGGTTATACCGACGTAGTGAGGTGTCGATCCTTTCTGGCATCCTTGACAGGTAGAGCTAAGGACTGGTTTCATCAGCTCGCTTCAGGGTCGGTCAGGTACTTTGAAGACTTTACAACTATCTTTCTGAAGCATATCTCTAGCGTCAGGTCATCAGAGAAGACCTACCTTACCCTAATGGCGATGTAGTAGCAGGAACGTGAGACCCTGAGGAGCTATATAGCTCGCTATACTCAGGCCTGTGTGGAGGTACCTTTAGCTTTTGAGGAGGTTAAGGCTGGAGGCTGACGAGGGTTTACGAGCGGGTCCTTGCTGGAGCTACTTGCTAAGAAGCCAGCACTTACATATAATGATATCTTGTAGAGGTGTGCTAAGTACATCAATATGAAGAAGGCTAAAGATGATTTTTCTAAGATTGAAAAAGCTCGGCCTGAGGTGAAGAGAGAGAGAGAGAGAGAGAGAGAGAGAGAGAGAGAGAGAGAGAGGAAATTCACCCAAAAAGAAGAGATCGGATGGAAAACGAGATGGAAGAGGGAGAGGTCGACCAATGCGAAAAGGTCACATATATGAGAAGTACACCCCACTGAGGTTGAATCCAACTGAGGTGTTGGAGACAATGGAGAGGAGGTTAGACGAGGACATAGTAACGTGGCCTAGGTCGAGAAAAGAAGGTCCAATGCAGCTAAATTCGACCTATACCGTAGGTTCCACCGCGACTATGGCCACACTAGTGATAACTGCAGACACTTGAAGGACGAGATTAAGTGGTTGATCAGGGCAGGTCATCTTAAGGAGTTCGTGTTTACGTACCAAGAGGTGAAGGGCCAAAGGAGAGATGATCGAGGGAAAAGACCTCGAGATCGAGAGGCAGAGATTGAGGCTCCTCCCAAGAGGGGGGTTACAACTGCTCCAGACATTTGGATATTCCCACACACATGAGACTTCTTCGGTTGTCTACTTCTTCTAAGAGCATCCATACAACATTCACCAAAAATCCTTGGTGATTTCTCTTTGTTAAGCTATTCTCACGATATGAACTTTGCTTCATTTCTTAAAATGCTATCTTCTTGACTTTTCTTCTTCTGAACAGCAGAAGTCACCTCAAATATGTTGGTCACGGTCCAGCTTCAAGCCTCCATGGTCTACACGGACTTATGGCTCTTATACACTAGAATACCGTTACTTCATACACTTACTCGAAGGCACTATGCCAATCTAAACCGAGGTGACCTCTATAGTCAAAACTTAACTCGACTTGATTTGAGTTCAAAACTCAAAACTTCAACTAGAGTTCCAAAAACTCCCAGCTTAACTAAAGTTCAAGTCATTTGAATTCGAGGGTAAATTCCTAGGCCCCATTCTAGAGTCATACCAGAAATCACAGTGTCACAAAGTCCTTCCCACAGTCGAACATGTATTTGCAGCAACCCATACTATGTTGGAAATAAATTGAGTTATGATACAAGATCACATATGAAGTCACAATGAATCTCACATGTAGTCACACAGGCTACCACAAGTATTCGCACATAGCCTTTCACATACTTCGTCACAGACTCATACTTATTCACACAGAATTTAACTTATTCCCACAGTATCTCATAGATTCTTACATGCCATCGCACAAAGTCATACATGCTATCACACAGATTTCTTACATATAACTACACAAAGTCGTACATGATGTCACACAGTTTCTTACATATAACTACACAAAGTTGTACATGTATTCACACAGTAAATTGAGCTATCACACAGTACTTACCCCAGAGTTGGCGTAGCACGATGGAGGCGAGTGGTCAAACTCAAAATTATTCAAAAAAATTTCTAACTATGAAAATTTTTGCAAGTCTACAAAACCATAGACTAGCTCTGATACCACGTTGTAACGCCTGCATATTTTTCAATAGAAAATGCTCGGTTTCCAAAAAATCGAGTTAATTTTTTTCAAAAATATTTCCAAATTAAAACTCTCTTGGATGTTACTCGAAATCTCTTTCTTACTGACAACTTGAGTCAAAACAAACTTTCTTTCACTAAGTATTGAACACTCAGTTGAAAATCTCGTCACACAACCATAGATTCTCAAAATCACAAAGTTGGAAACTTTATTACGGAAGCAAAACAATTGCTATATAAAAATTCGACCACCCTCGTCTCCTCGTGACCGCCGCCAGCTACTTAACCTGAAATTTTTTTATATATGGGGGTGAGCAAACACAAGCTCACCGTGGAAACTATACAATTGTGTTTAGTTTTAATACGGTTATTATTATTTATAAATTTACAGTTAATATTTTTCTTATATATATATAGAACTAATATAAAATATATGTGGTGAAGTTTCACATACATAGTTATCTCTGCATCCGTGACAACAAAACGCAGCTTAGTGTTAAGACGGTTCACCTATGACTGATAGATCATGATCGAGTCACCGAGTATGGAAAGTGAGAATACTATAGATTCTCCTTAAAATTAA